ATTTAGAAGTTTCATCTGGTCTTGTTGAGATATATAGTTGAGTATCATCAGCATAACAGTGGAAACTAATCCCGTATTTTCTAATAATATTACCAAGGGGCAACATGTATATTGAAAATAGCAGAGGACCTAAGACAGATCCTTGTGGCACTCCATATTTTACTGGTGATAACTGAGATGACTCCCCATTTAAATAAACAAAGTGGTAGCGATCAGACAGGTAGGATCTAAACCATCTTAAAGCCTGCCCTTGAATACCTGTATAGTTTTGTAATCGATCTATGAGTATGTCATTACAGGTCAAAGCCATCTGATGTTCCATTTTTCTAAATAAATAGGCCAAACATATATGGCTATTAAATCACTGCTTATACAAATTCAGTGTTGTCATATTTTGAATACCTCAAACTGAATTGAAGTCATTTGTTTTATAATTGTGTGTACTTGTCTCTTTTTTTTTGTTGTTTAAGATTGAGATTTTTGTAATGGTAATTGATCAATATTTATATTGAAGGATCTTTAGATCATCACGTGCAAATTGTGTGTTGTGTTTTTGTTTTCATGTTTTTAAATTAATTTATATTAATTTATTCAAATAATCATTTTATAATCGTTAGTCATTCATATGAGTTATTATTTGATTATTTGTATCATTTATCATTATATTAAAGTATTTTTATTGTTTTATTCATGTATTATGTTTATTCATTTATGTTTCTATATTTTATGTTTCTTATTAATTTTCCCTAGCTTATGCATTTTCATTGTTGTTCAATCTCATGCTTGTGGGGTTTCATGAACTGTTTTGTCTGTATGAATAAGAGATAGATAAGAGGGAATATTTATGGAAACCCAATAAGGTTTATGGGATGTTGTTGTGAATCAGTTTGATATATCATTACTTGCTGAATTTGTGTTCATCAGACGCACTTTAAACATTGAGACATACGCAACTAAGATTGTTCAATAAACTCTGTTACTTTTTACCATTATCACTTCATCTCCTGCTTCTGCTCTTCTTTGGCTTTCCTCAGTCAACTTCTTGACTGACAGAAGACTGTTAAACACGCGCTTTGGGTATTTTTGGATATCAGACAAGACATGCTATTAACAGGGTTTGGGTATCGACAGCTCTGCTGACTAGTTGTTCTGTTACCGGACAAACTGATATTTTCTGATGGGATCTGGCATCCGAAGCTGGATCTTAGGCGTGGGTACTCGCTCTAACAACACAGATATTTTGGAAAGAGAGACAGACTTTGACTCAAACCTATATACCACGAGCCAGACACTGACTCAGAGGGTCTCAAGAGTACGAAGACTTGGATTAAACCAATTTCAAAGCTTGAAATAATGTGCCTTGAAAAAATTGATGGACAAAAAAAATATTAAAATATCTATATGGCAGTATACAGTATGTGGTAGTTTTGCCAATGGTATTGAAAAAGATTAGTCGTCATGAAATAAAAAATGACCCTACTTTTTTAGTGCACATTGCTAGTCTTGTGGTGAACAATTGAACCATGCAAGTCAATGCGCTGGAAAAAAAAATTGTCTGCCGTCGCTTCCACTCTGGATTGGAGTTCTGGCTCTGATGACGTCAGTTTGACGGCTTGGGGAGAATCAGCCATTTATGAGCACTATTTAATTAAAATTACATATTTAAGCTAAGCATTTAAAAATTTGCTGTGCACACTTCAGTCTCCGTGCTCACAGTGTCTAATATTACTAATACTAATATACTAATATTTTAGCTGAATCGCTGTCAGACTATCGGATTTCAGTATGGAGATAAAGGTTAGGGTTATAATTTTTCAGTATTACATGACATCGTGAGTGTGTATATGCACAGTTTGTTGTTTTTTGGGGGGCATCTGGCAGAGCGTTAGGACCCAGAAGTGGTGAAGCATGATATCAGACGTAACAAGCAGATATTCTTAACCACTCCTATCCAACCGTGAATCTGCTATGAGCAAGAGGTGGAGAGGAGGTGCACCACAATAAAACCCCGCCCCTTTATTCAACATTCCGTTTCACTTGGAAATACATCACAACACTGAAGTCAGTTTAACTTCCGGTTCACGGGTACTTTGATACTGATATTTTTCAAGGTATTGAAGTTAGAAATTCCTGTATCATGACCACTAATTCATGTACTTTGTCAATAAGATAAAAGTGGGTTTTGTTCAAAGTAGTTATTGTCCACATAGAGCTTTGATATGAATGAATATTTTTTGGTAATTCATTAAATATCGCTGGCTAAAAAGTAACTAGTACTCTGAGTAGTTTTTGAGAGGAGTACTTTGTACTCCTCTCTTAAGTACAGTTTTGACACCAGTACTTTTACTTGTAATTGAGTATTATTTCAGCAATGTAACAGTACTTGTACTTAAGTACAAATTTTCAGTACTCTTTCCACCACTAGGGATAAAAAAGGAGGATGAAGAAACAAAGCTGTACGAAGAGACAGCAGATGGGGTCGTCCTCCCATTCTAAACCTAAGAAGAAGAAACAAGCCAAGAGACAAAACTGCCCCAGTGAGTCCAGAAAGTTTTTTTTTTTTTTTTTTACTAATATAATGTCAAAATAGCAATAAATCAAGAAGTGACAATAAATGCACATTTTACACTGCCTAATATGTTATTGCGAAGTTTTTTCTTCACCTAACTGATTTTGATTTTACTTGTTTCAGAATCATCCGCAGGACAAAAAAACACTCAAAACAAATCTCAACTTCCTGTTACATGTGGCTGTAAAGAGGGTGTCCTGTATTTGAATAAATATTATGATAGTAGGTGCAGAAACATTTCTATATGTTAAAGAATTGAGTGATGTAATATGTTATTGAGAAGTTTTTTCTTCTTCACCTAACTGATTTTGATTTTACTTGTTTCAGAATCATCCGCAGGACAAAAAAACACTCAAAACAAATCTCAACTTCCTGTTACATGTGGCTGTAAAGAGGGTGTCCTGTATTTGAATAAATATTATGATAGTAGGTGCAGAAACATTTCTATATGTTAAAGAATTGAGTGATGTTAATGAAGAGTTACACGTTTTTGAATGTCTCGAGATTGTAATTCTGGAGCATCCAGAGCATCCAGGTGCTCAAAAACATGTCATTCCAGTAGTGGTTGAATAAATCGTTTTTCTGTCTTTAGAGCAGAAGTGCATTTTCAGTGAGGGCCAGTGGTTCAAGCCCACTGAGTTTGAGAGGTTTGGGCTGAAGGAGAGGCACAAAAAGTGGAAGACCAGCATCCTTTGCAAAGGGATTCCACTCCAGAAACTAATAGAGGTGCATAAGACATGCAGGTTTCAATAACAGTTTTAACTAATGCACACTCAAGTGCAATTATGATTTCCTTTTTCCCTTTTTTTTTGATTAATATGGCCTTGGTAATTGGTGAGTCTGATCTATTAGTAAATCATTTGAGAAACTCAAATTAAACAAATAACAGCTACCTGAAATAAAAATGGACACGATGCAGATAATATAAATACATTTATGACATATTCTAACTTTGTTCTTTTTCTGTTCATAGGATGGATTTCTTTTATATACATCCTTTAAAAAAAGCAGGGTTCAGGATGCAAAGGTTTGGCTGCTCTTCGATCATTGTAGATAGGATTTGTTGAGGAGTTAACCTTTCTAGGCCACAGCTTTCAAATGTGACTTAAGAGTGACCAAGATGTTCATCAAAATTTCTCCTTTTGTGTTCTGCAGGGGAAAAAAAGCCATGTGGGTTTGGAAAAACAGGGTAAATGGGGACTAATTTTCTTTATTTTTTGGAGGGATATTCCTTTAAATAAGATCATTGCAACAGTTATTCAGAATAAGAAAGACTTTATATTCTGTTAAGTGAATATTTGTGTATTTGTTGTAGAATCACCCGATAAGATCGAAGACAATCAAGACGATGATGATGATGACGCTATTGACATGAACATGTTTAAAGGTCCAGTCCTACCTGTTACCTGTGGTTCTGATTCTGGCATTCTACACAAATATCGATTTTCCAAAGGTCTGTGAGTGGGAATGTTTTTATAACAGTTATTATAAATATTTATATGTGTCAGTGTTTTACATACACAACTAAAAAATTTTGAACACAAGTTATCTGTTTCTTGCAAGCCAGGCTCATGGGAAATATGTGACTCTGCCTACATTTCTGCAAAACCTGAAATACCTTGCTGAGGGTATATTTCGCTGCACTTTTTTAGATGACACCTCCACAAGAGGCGCTATCAGGGTATTTGTAGGCAGAGTCCCGTATTGTTTTTTTCTCTCACTTAATGACAATGCATGTAAATGCACTGCTTGACTGCAGTGGTACAAGACTTTTACACTCAGTATTGTCTTTATCTCAGGGTATTGTGGGAGATGCATAAGAACAGAGAACCACTGGCTGACGCCTGAGGATTTCATCAAATTGAGCAAACCAGATGGAACATGGAAGAAAGACATTCTGTCCAATGGGATGCCTCTTGGGAAGCTTATAACGGTAAAAGAAAATACTAAATAGTAAACAAGAACCTTTACAATTTGAATTTTGAACATTTCAAATTTAAATTGATGAAATTCAGAGAAACAAACAGTGGCTATCAACAAACAAGGCAATCACATTGTGGCGTGATAGCCCCATGAAGGTCCTTTAACATTGTTTGTATTAAATCCTAAGAAAACCTGGGAGAACTTCAGAGATTACGCATGATGTTTGTGTCGTATTTATGTGGCTACAATCAGTGTTATTTTTATTGGGTTCTTAAGTTTTTGTATACTTATATATAAAGGGACAGCTCACTCAAAAATGAAAATCCTGTCATCATTTACTCACGCTGAAGTTGTTCCAAAGCTATATGATTGTTTTTTTCATCTGTTGAAAGTTGGTAACCAAACAGTCAATGGTAGCCATAATATATATTTTTTCATACCATGCATGAAAAAAATGCTGTATGTTGTCATGACAGGGTCTGATCAAATGTTTTTGCAGTACACAATACTGATGTGTTTTCACATACTTTCAGAAAAGCATTTTGCAACCACATACAGCCAACTGTGACTGTGAGATCTGCCAAGAACCGGATCAGAACCAAGTAAAACATCGTCATTCACATTTACAGTCATGCCAAAGCATCAACAAAGACCACCAAAACTCATCACAACTACTGACACTTGAAATTATTTCTACAATGTGCTTCATAACAGTATAGTTTTATTTCTGTATGAACTCTTGTCCCAGCAGAATGATGACGTGTGTTTCGTGTGTCCCTCTGAGGGAGATCTCGTGTGTTGTGATGAATGTCCACGAGCTTTTCATTCACACTGTCACCTACCATCTGTACATGAAGACTCACCTGGGTGAGAGAGAGAGAAATCTTGCTGGATTAGACAAGACTAGATGTTTGACTTTGTGTAATAGTGTGTGTTTTGTGTGTACAGAAGCCAGTGGAGCTGCACGTTTTGTGTGATGAAGATGAAAAGTTCCAGTCAAAAGACCCAACAGGATATTTTGAGCAGTCCAGTCTCTCAGTACACACTGGTAAAGTTTCTGCAATTTTTTAGCCCATACAATGGAAGTCAATGGGGTCCAAAACAACATTTCTTTCATTTTATAGACACAAATGTAACACTTATAGTCTGTTTGATTCTCTTCTAGCACTGCCAATACCTGCTGTTACACCTGCTACACGAGAGCATGACCGACCCCTGTGCCAAAGTAAATCTCATATTTAAGAGCTTCATTTGCCTCTTAGTCATTATTTACAGCTCTTATATGTGGTGTATATGTACAGTATGTGACATCTGAACTGCTGGTGTCTAGGTTCCAGGATTCAGTGGGAACATTTGTAGTCCCATGATGCTGGGCAGAGTGAAGCTGAACTTGGAGATTGTATAGACACAAATGTAACACTTATAGTCTGTTTGATTCTCTTCTAGCACTGCCAGTACCTGCTGTTACACCTGCTACACGAGAGCATGACCGACCCCTGTGCCAAAGTAAATCTCATATTTAAGAGCTTCATCTGGCTCTTGGTCAATATTTACAGCTCTTATATGTGGTGTATATGTACAGTATGTGACATCTGAACTGCTGGTGTCTAGGTTCCAGGATTCAGTGAGAACATCTGTGGTCCCATGATGCTGGGCAGAGTGAAGCTGAACTTGGAGAATAATGATTATCGAACAGTGCAAGAGTTTGTCTCAGATATTGAATATGTTTTCCACCACTGCACCGCCAAAAGGGTGAATTTCACTTGGGCTTGCAAATGTTACTAATGACAGGAGTCTTAACAATTTCATATACATGGACTTTTTTATTGACTGAAATCTACATTTCTCTATTTCTTCTCTGTAGGATAATGACTTCAGTAGAATGACCTCTAGGCTGACGGAACTACTTGAAATCATCTTTAAGCTGCTGTGACATCACATCTTAACAAAGATGTCCTTTGTTGGACCTGGTGGTAACATTTGTGTGAATTGTACAAATATAACAAAAATAAAGAAAGCATATTTAGACTTAATAAAAAATTGTGCAGTTGTGAACAATTAGTTATTCCTGAATGTGTTTCTCTCACTTGTGTGCTTATCTGATACTACTTAGAGTTTCCCAACCCTGTTCCTAGAGGCACACCAGCAGTACACATTTTGCATGTCTCCCTTATTTGCATCTCTTTCAGGTTTTGGAGTCTCTATTATCAAGCTGAAGAGTTGATTCAGGTGTGTTTGATTAGGAAAAGATTGAAAATACGTACAGCCTTGGTGTGCCTCCATGAACAGGGTTGGGAAACACTGGCTTAGAACATATACAAAATGTTGGATTTACTAAACTTGTAAATCTTGTTTATCCAAGAAAAAAAGATATGTTATCTGCAGCTATAGTAAATCTAGCAGTTTTTAGTATTTTCATAAAAAAAAATAAAAAAAAACATTTATAGCACTATACTGTTATATGTAACATATACTGTTATATTAAATGTAAAGCAGCACAGTGGAATGCAAAGATACATTCATTTTAGGACAAAGTGTGACATTTAAATAGAGACATTTAGTAATAATAACAAAACATCGATCCCACATTACAAGGTCATACTGGCACATAATATATATATATATATATATATATATATATAGTCATATATATTCAGTTTATATATGATAGTAGTTTTTTTTACCTTTAACAGTAAAATAATAATAATAAACAAAGCGCGGCCGTCAAAACTACATTTTAGATTTAGTTCAGGATATAGGTCCGTTATTCACTTTCATTTTGACCTGTGGGTGTGGTTTCAAGACAGTTGAAAATACGAGACAGGAAGATATAAATTCACTTTGTGGAGAAATCTGAAGCTGTAAGGTAAATCAATTAGTTCTACATACAAGAACAAAATACTAGGCTATAGCATCCTGCAACGATTAACATAAATCTAGCACAGTTTTTAACATTTTCGTTAAAAAAAAACATTATAGCACAATAGCTTACTTTATGTATTTCGTCTTAACTGCTTGAAAGTCGTGGAAACTTAAGTGCGGAATTGTATTTTTCTGGTCGAGAACGAACAAAAAAATGATTTACTTCCGCATTCCAAACACTTAAATGTGGCGAAAATATTCATGTATTGTTCATTTGGGGGTCACACTTGTGTTGTTCGCGGTCAAAAGTGACAGAACCCCTGAAATTAACTTTTTTTTCAGTAAAATCAATGTACGTTAATATATTTTTGTTCCATAATATTTTTTATTTTGAGAGAATTTCATGGTACTAATCAATATTTATATACGATAATTATAATTTTTTTCCCATTGAAAAGAATACAAAATGTTTTTTTTTTTTTTTTCTAATATTTAATAGACGACGGCTGCGTTCGGTTCAGCCTCGACAAAACGGTGCAAAACGTTTTTTAAACGGAAACGGTGGTGCGTTGAACACACTGTTCTGATGACGCAAGAGTTGCAACTATGGCAGCTGATAAGGCCATTCTTTGTGTTCTTTTGGAAGAATTGTCGGAATCTGATGAAATCGGTATAAATACGTGTTTAATACTGCAAAATATGCTCGATGGTACAGTCACTGTCCTTGCCATTTGCCTCACATTTCAGGATGAAAAGACAAACATTTCAGGTGAAGGATAATAAACGACTTAAAGTATAAAACTAAAAGTAATGTAAGGAAAAAAATGCCATTAAGGGCAAAAGCTTAGGCCACGCCACAGGGGCCTATTGTGCACTACCCCACCTCCGCGATGGATCGCGTGCAAACCAATAGGGTGTCGGAATGGTATATGTTTATACTTCTCATCCAACCACAATCAAATTCACTCATTTATTTTGATGTTAATTACATTTACTTACAAATTCCCACTCACATACTCCCATACTACTGACTAAACACCCCCGCACCCCATTTAATTCTCTTTTTTATTTCCTGGTAATCAATTCTAATTTAAATTATTTTATTTCTAGTTCTTACTTTTTTAATACCTTGTATTTTCTTTCTCATTTTTATGTAAAGCACTTAAAGCACAAGCAACGTTTTGCTACAGTTTCCGGGTTGAACGACATGTTTCCTGGAAATGGTGTGCAACGGGGTTTGAGATAGTTTTTCTCTTATTTGGTGGGTGTGTCAAAAATGTCAGCCCAATCAGCAGCAACATGTATATAAACCACAAGGTATTAAAGAAACAGCTAAATAAATTA